TCTTTTTTTTTGTAGAGATAAGGTCTCTCTGTATTACCTAGGCTGGTCTCAAACTCTTGAGCTCAAGTAATCCTCCTGCCTTGGCCTCCCAAAGTGCTGGGATGACAGGTGTGAGCCACCGTACCTGGCCTAAACATGTTTTACTTTGAAATAATCATAGATTCGTGGGACATTGCCAGGAAGTACATTGCCAGGAGAGGTCCCGTGTGCCTTTCACCTAGCTTCCCCGATGGTTACGGCTCACACATCTGCAGTCCGGTATCAAAACCAGGAGCCATGTCATTATAGCACACGTGTGGATTTGGGTAGCCACCACAGCCAAGACCCAGAACTAGCCCATCCCCACCAAGACCCCCACGAGCTGTTTCTTAACCCCCTCCCTCCACTATCTCTAATCCCTGGCAACCACCAAGCTGTTTTCCATCTCTGTGATGCTGTCACTGTGGGACTATTCTGTAGCAGAAACCCACAGCCCACGGACCTTGAGACGAGCTTTCCTCACTCGTGAGGACGTCCTGGAGACCCATCCAGGTATCCTGTGTCAGCAACTTGCTCCTCCTACGGCGGTCCTATTCCACGGCATGGACGTAGCACGATTGGCTGGACCGTTAACCTACCCAAGGATGCCCATGCCGTTTCTAGCTTTCAATAGAAGCTACTACGAACAAGTGAAAGCTTTTTGTGTGGATGTATGCTTTCATTTGTCTGACATAAATGCCTTGGGATGTCATAGCTGGGTCATGGAGTAGTGGTCAGATAGCTAAGCATTTTTTTTTTTCTTTTTTCTTTTTTTTAATAAGCGGAGTTTTCAGCCAGGTGCGGTGGCTCATGCCTGTCATCCCAGAACGTTGGGAGGCTGAGGTGAAAGGATTGCTTGAACCCAGGAGTTTGAGGCCGGGCTGGGCAACACAGTGAGACCTCGTCTCTATAAAAAAACTCAACACCATTAGCTGGGCGTGGTGGTGCATGCCTATAGTCTCAGCTGCTTGAGAGGCTGAGATGGAAAGATCACCTGAGCCTGGGAGGTGGAGTCTACACTGAGTTACGGTAGGGCACTCCAGCTGGGCGACAGAGTGAGACCCGGATTCAAAGTAAAGAAATTGAATAAGTAAATAAATAAGTAACTGGAGTTTTCCAGAGTAGTGGTACCCTTTTAAAAAATTTTATTAATTATTATTATTATTATTATTTACGGTACCGTTTTATATCCCTGCCTGCAAGGTAGGTAGGAGAGACCCGGTTCCTCTGTCTCCAGAAGCTTCCTGGATCCCTGCCAGCACTGGGTGTTGTTCTGTCTTTAATTTTAGCAGTGCTAATGGCATGCAGTCACAGCCCCTTGAAGCCACAGACACACTGCTCCCTGGTGTGTGTGTGTGCTGTCTGCATGCTGGGCTTGCAGACAAACAAAAACGACAGGGCTTTTCTTCCTCTCTCCTCTGCCAAAAACCAACCTTGCCCACTTGGGGTGACTTCCCTCTCCTTGAAGACCCATGGCTCCCAAGTCTTCTGCCCAAAGTGGGGGGAGGGGTGCATCCGGGCTTTGGCGGGACCCTTTAAAGACCGGAGAACTCCCAAGAGACCAGGGACAGGCCGGTGTGGACAGGAGGTCTGGGGCCGCTGGCATCGGAAGAACAAGGCTGCAGCCTTGGGTAGGTGGAGTGAACACTCTGATCCCGAGGCAAACGATTCCACGGAGGGGCCAGGCGGGGAACCCCACAAGCCAACGCCAGTCAGTATCACCATCCCTTTCCTCCCACGGCAGGACCCCTACCCCTCAGGGCTGTGGCTGGCACAGCCAAGCGGTCCCAGGAGGCCGGGTTGGGAGCACCGTGTCCTGGGCATCCCGCCGTACTGGTGGCAGCGCCTGTCCCCCCCGGTCCCGACTCACCCAGGCCAAAGTGCGCCACAGGCTCCATCTCGCACAGGTAGCCAGAGCCCCCGTCGATGATCCTCAGGTGGGCCCCGCTCTTCTTGGTGTAGAGCACGACCTTGGCCCCCCTGGCGAAGGCCCCGAACCGGGTTCTCGGCACCACTCGCAGCCAGTTGTTGCTGAAGCCCTGTGGGGAGGGGGAAGGGCAGACACGGGTGGGCATCGGTGTGCCAGGCGGAAGAGCACGGAGGCTGGAGGCGGGGATGGGCGGGCAAGAGAGGGGAAGAAGGAGAAAGGGCGGAAGAAAAAGAGAGAGGAGGCTGGGTAACGGGACCGAGGGGGGCTAAGCCCGGCGGCTCACGCCTGCCATCCCAGCACTTTGGGAGGCCGAGGTGGGAGGATCGCTTGAGCCCAAGAGTTTGAGACCAGCCTGGGCCACACAGCGAGACCATCTCTCCACAAAAAACAAAGCAAACACACAAATAGCTGGGCAGGGTGGCACGTGTCTGTGGTTCCAACTACCCTGGAGGCCAAGGAGGAAGGAGCGGCTGAGCCTGGGAGGTCAAGGCTGTGCTGAGCTGTCATCATGCCACTGTACTCCAGCCTGGGCCACAGAGTGAGACTCTCACTCAAAAAAAAAAAAAAAAAAAAAAAAAAAAGGTGTCCGAGGCAAGGATGGATTGTTGAAAGAACAGAGAAGCCAGGAAAAAGAGGAAGGAAAGCCGGGAGACTTGGGAACGGTTTTTGGCGGAGGAGTGAGCGTGGCAGACAGAGGGGTGAGGGCCTCTCCTGGGGCGGCCCTCCTTGGGCTTTGCTGGGCTGCTGGAGTTTATTCGCTTCCTCCAGGGCCCAGGATCTCCCTTTCCCACCATGCGGGCCAAGCTGGCAGGCGGGCACCTCGCCCTCACTAGCCCCAGGTCCAGGAGGGCACCCAGGCTGGGATCTGTGGGTCCCAAGGTCTGTGCGTACCTGGTTGCCCCTGAAGACGGACAGCGGCTGAGCCATGGACTCTCCGTGGGACAGGATGAGGTCCAGCATGCCGTCCCCATCGAAGTCGGTCACCACGCCCCCTGCAAACAAGGCACACTTCACTTCTGGCCATGGGCCGGGAGACCCAGAGCAGGGAGGCGCCCAACCAGGGCCGGGCGTGGGAGGTAGAGAAAGGACACGGCCTGGGGCGGGAGGGCTGGGATTGCACCTCCACCTCCTCTCTACCCTGGCAGTGGCTGTGATGGGACTCATGAAACAGGTGTCCCTTCCTTCCCCTGGACTTTGCAGGGAGAGTGTGTGCAAACGACCCAGGCCAAGAGACCTCCTCTGGTCCTTGTGTTAGGGTTTGAATAATGCATACCTGTTGCGTTTGCACAATCCTCTGTCAGTTTAGCCAGTGTTTGCATACACATGGCCCCTTCCGGTCCTCACAACGTCCGGCAACAGGAGGAGGACAGACATCATTATCCTCATTTTATGGAGGTGGAGACCAAGACCCAGAAGATAAAGCAGCTTTTCCAAGACCACAGAGCAAGGCAGTGGCAGAGCTGAGTCTTGAGACTCACGGTCCAGGGCTCTCTGTCTGACACCAAACTGAGTGCCACGAGGGAAGGGATCGGACAGCAGGGTCCTCTTCCAGACAGCCGAGGGGGCTCACCCCTCTTTTTTCCATCCTCACCCGGCAGGACGCGGCCAGAGAACAGACCCTTCCTGTCTGGCAGTGCCCCGGGGTTTCCCCTTTCTGCTTTTACCCCTGCCCTTGAGTCTCTGCCCTCAGTGTGTCCGGGACAGGAGGGCCTGGCTGTGGGACTTGGCAGACCGTCCCTCCCGCCCCCACTCTTGGGTTTGCACAGCACTGAGACCGGGGGTGCAGGCCAGAGCCCCCGGGTGCCCCTCACCTGTGCCCCGGCCCTCAGGCTCCAAGGCGTCACCGGGGTTGAGCTCCTCGATGAGGGGGTCTCCGTGCTCCCTGCGGATGACTCTGCAAGACAAGACAGGCCTGGCCTGAGTCCCGGGACCCAAAGGCCCACTCGCTCCGTTCTCTGCCCTGAGCATTCCCCAGCTCCCGCTGCCACCTAGATGCCCACCGAGCCACCCTCTGCTCACAGACCCTGCCTGCACTCCCCTGCTCTCTTCTTGGGTTTTAATTTATGTTGGTGAATATTGATCTTCCCGTCTCTAATGGATGAATTATAGACAGCCGGGGAAGGGCAGCTGACAGATCGAGAAGGGCAGGGACGCGGCCACCTTCAGTTGACCTTCGCGTGGCTCTAGCAGGCTGGGTCTCTCAGCTCTGGCATGTACCCGGGGTCGAGTTCTCCCTCCCCTGTGCCCCTCAACTGTCCTGCTAGAAGGAATCCCCGCTTCTGTGGCCATCACCACTTCCACCTGCGTTGAGGCTGTGTGCATACATCTCAGCTCCGTGAGGCTGCGAGCTCTTTGCAGGCTGGGCCCTGGCACGACCATCTTTGCCTCTCTTGCAGTACCTAGCACAGCGCCTGGCTCACGGGGACCCCGAGCACGTGATGCGGGATGCCAGGCTGAGTTCCAGAGGCGGAGGGGAAGAAATGGGTCCCTTGGAGCTGCAGGGGCTCTGTCTGCTTTGCACTCTGAATCTTTTCCTTTTTTTGAGTCGGGATCTCACTCTGTTGCCCAGGCAGGAGTGCAGTGGCACCATCACACAGCCTTGACCTCCTGGGCTCGAGATTCTCCCACCTCAGTCTCCCAAGTAGCTGGGATTACAGGTCTGTGCCTGGCTAACTTTTTGAATGTTTGTAGCGATGAGGCCTTGTTCTGCTGCCCAGGCTGGTCTCAAACTCCTGGGCCTTGTTCTGCTGCCCGGGCTGGTCTCAAACTCCTGGGCTCAAGCAATCCTCCCGCTTCGGCCTCCCAAAGAGCTGGGATTTCAGGCACGAGCCACCGAGACCGGCCGAACTCTGAATCTTGATGGTATTTGTTTCAGAAATGTCTGCTGCAAAGCCCAGCTCTTCCTCCTCACTGCTGATGAGGGCAGGGCTCTCCTCTCAGATTCTCTCACTCTTTCTCTTCTCACGGCCCTGGGTGCTTGGCCCGGGAGGTGGAGCTATGACGGGAAGGTAAGCCCAGGAGCACACCTTACAGGTGGCTCATGGCTGCCGTCTGCCCAAGGCCCAGACACCAGGGGGCTGTGACGTGGCCAGTCGGAGGGGCGAGGTCCCCAGAACTGGAGTTTTGGTGGCTGCTGGGAGAGCTGGCAAGTCTGCAGGGCACCAGTGGGTCCAGCAGACACCCCGGCTAGGCCTGTGTGTCGGTGTGCAGGGGTGTGATGCCTCAGCCTGCCGACGCCCACTGTCCCTCCCGCCACTTGTGTCCTCCAGACTCTGCCACGGCCGGGCAGAGACACCCTAGGCTCCGGGCAACGCAATGAGGAGTCTTACGAAGACACCCAGCAGTCCTGCTGTGCTCCTGTGTCCACACGACATACTCTTAGGCAGCGACTTCTGGGTGCTGGGCCCTGCGAGGGGGCTGGGGGCATCAGGAGGGGTGGGGCTCAGGGTCTGAGTCCCCGGGAATCCCCACACGGAGGGTGGGGACGTGGGGAGCACAGAGCTGGGCAAGCTCACCCAGATCTGGGTGATCCGGGAAGGCTTCCTGGAGGAAGGGCCAGCTAGCTAGAGCCCAGCATGGTGAGGGAGCACGTGTCACTCTGAAGAAGAGGGAGAAGGGGGCCATAAAGAGTGGCATGTGAGAGGCCAGGCCTGGCACAGCCGAAGCCCGCCGTGTCTGGAGCTTAGATGTGAGTGGGGAAGTAGAGCGTGATGAGGCTGGGGACACAGCCAGGCCACGTCGCCGAGGCTGGACTTGATCCAAAGGCAGTGGGGAGCTTCTGAAGGCCTAAAGTGGAAGAGGGGTGTGGCCAGATGGGCAGAACACTTGTGCTGCAGGACCAGGGAGGGCAGCTGGGGAGGGGGTGCGAGAATGCCCACAGGAGACCAGGAGTGGTGTTGGGTGGAGAGCCAGGCATGTCTAGATTTGTAAGTGGGTGCCCGGCCAGACTCCAGCTGACCCGGGAGAGCACCTATTCTCACTGTTGGCTGGTTGTAATGAAGAGGGCGCTTTGGCCAGGAGTGATGGCTCATGCCTGTAATCCCAACACTTTGGGAGGCCGAGGCAGGAGGATTACTTGAGCCCAGGAGTTCGAAACCAGCCTGGGCAACCTAAGGAGACCTTGTCTCTACAAAAAAAAAAAAAATTACTGGGGTGTGGTGGCACTTGCCTGTAGTCCCAGCTACTTGGGAGGCTGAGGCAGGAGGGTCGCCTGAGCCTAGGAGGTGGAGGCTGCAGTGAGCCGTGCTTGTGCCACTGCATTCCAGCATGGGCAACAGAAAGACCCCGAGTCAAAAAAAAAAAAAGACGGCTCCCTTTCACTCTCAGGAGGGGTCTGTGTGGGTGATGAATTTCCTGCTGCCCTGGGTATCGTCAAAGGACCTGTGAACTCCAGCACTCCGAGGCTGTGACCCCTGCGCCTGGCATGCTCCCAGGAGGGCCCCCAGGCCAAGAAGCCCACGATGTCTGCTTAGCACCGGGTGCAAAGCTCACGTGGTGTGGGGCGGGCAGGGGTTAAACTTCCAGAGCTGCCGGCCAAGCCTCTGTCCCCCGCTGCAGCCCCCCTGTGCTGTGTGCTCAGGACCCAGCCATCTGCCACAGGGCCTTGGGGCGCAGCCACGTACCTGGGAAGTGGCTTCTGCAGCCACGGCCTGAAAGCAAACACACTAACCCGCTGGGCGGCCACATGGTGACAGGCTCTGTCCACTGACAGCCCTGGGCCGGTCGCCCTATCCTCCCTCCCGGCTCACCCGCAGGAGGCTGGAGGGGGGTGCTGGGAGGTTTGAAGCAGGAGGAACAGCCAGGTGGACAGGGCAGTGCCTGGGATCCCAGGCCATGGAGACTGGAGCACTGGACTCCTCAGTGCTCGGGGGCCCGGGCGAGCGACACTTTATTAGCTAGAGAAGGAGAGCAGTGTCTCCGCTAACTGGCCATTGATCTTCTGCAATTAATCTGGAAGTTGTGAATAAGCTTTTTGCAAGGCACCTAATTAGTAAATCTGGCGCCTTCTGGGGGTGATTACATCCAGCCAGGACGGATGCTTTGCTAATAATTATATTTTAAAACACGCTTAGTCACAGCTCAAGCCTTTTATTCAGAGTTGGGTCCTCCCAGGAGATGGGCTAGGGGCTTTGGGGGTCCGAACGGGGGACCAGGCCCACTTCCTGGGTCCGAGGGCCCAGCTCTCTCTGCTCTCCCCACCTGGGCCTGAGCCGCAGTGGGACCTCAGACCAGGCACAGGGACATCTCAGCCACCTGCGTCCTGAGCTGTGTTCCTCAACTGCGGTTCTCAAACTAACGTGCTTAGATTCACTTGTTAAAATACAGGTTCCTGGGCTTCACCCCCGAGTTCTGAATCAGGAGAGCTGGGCTGAGCCCTGGGATTCTGTACTCTGAGAACTCTGGGTAACTCTGATGTCAGAGAAAAGCTGGTGCAGAATATTCAGCCCGTCCTCTCTAGATGCTGCTCCAGTGCCCCCTGGGCCCTTCAATTTCTGAAATTCCCTTTTCCTTGTCTCCCGGGAAGGCGTCACTCAGCATTCCCCAGAGGGTGTCCCTCAGAACACCAGTCTCAAGGGAAGTATCTTTGAAAGAAGTGTCCCATGGTTGAATCTATTTGGAGTCCCCCATTCATCCTTTGGGAAGTTAAAGTATCCATGGTCCATCAAGTGAAAGGCTCTGAGAAGTCCTGTAGTAAATACATCTGCTTGTCTTTGCCTAACCCAAGTTGACCCAGATTTGGCTCTGTAATCCATTGGTGTGGTGGTGTGGATTGCTATCTTTGGAGCCGGGGTCTGGGCACCCTGTGGGCCATGTCCCTTGGCCATTTCCCTGCAAGAGCTTTCTTCCCCAGGCTTCCCCCTGCATTCCTGTCCTTCCCATCCTTCTGTTTCTTCACCAGGGAACCTGCCTGCCTCTGCCTGGGGCACCGACACCCTGGCCCTGGACACCCTCCATTCTGGTTCCCACACCCTCCTTCCGACCTCTCCTCCCCACCAGCCATCCAGGGGAAGGGATCTCGCGCCCGGATGGGGCATCTACCGAAAGAGGCGGTTGGCTGACGAGCTGCGGTAGGCGATGTTGTTGAAGAAGATCTCCAGCTCCTGGTCGTTGTCAAAGTCGGCGGCGATGACGGTGCGGACGGGGGAGGGCATGGAGAACTTGGGCGAGGCGATGTCCTGGAGAGAGGGAACCGGGGAGGGCATGGAGAACTTGGGTCAGGCAGGAGCGTGGGCCGGGCGAGAGGCCGATCCCCTCTCCGGGGTGTGGGGGCAAAGACAAGAGACAGTTGGACCCAACAGCTCCTCCCCCACCTCCCCACAGGGGACCCCGGGGCTGCCCTGAGGGGCACACGGACCTCAGGCTGTTTGCAAGGGATCAAGGAGGCAGCACAACAGTCACAACAGACGCCATGAAGTGCATGGCTGTTCCCTGGTCTGGGTCTCACCAGGCCCTCTCATCAGACCCTCGGGGCAGCACAGGCATCAGCACTCCCATTTTACTGGGAAGGAACTGAGTCCTGGGGAGGTAGCTGGCCCTGGGATCTGGGATGATGTCCATCACTGTTCCACGTTTGTTCTGTTTTTTTTTTTTTTTTTTTTTTTTTGAGTTGGAGTCTCACTCTGTCGCCCAGACTGGAGTGCAGTGGCCGCTCTCAGCCACCGCAGCCTGGACCTGCTGGGCTCCACGATCCTTCCGCCTCAGCCTTCCAAGTCGCTGGAACTACAGGCGAGTGCTACCACGCCCGGCTAATTTTTTGATTTATTGTAGTGATGAGGTCTCACCAAGTTGCCCAGGTGGGTCTTGAACCCGTGGGCTCAGGCAATCCACTCACCTTGGCCTCCCAAAGCATGGGATTACAGGCTGAACCTCCGAGCCCGGCTCCACGTTTGTTCTAACCGGGATCTCAACAGGGGTGATTTTCTTGTCCTCCTCCCCCAGGACATTTGTTAATATCTGGGGACACTCTGAATGGTCACAACTGAGGAGGGGGGTGGTACTGGTGTCTTGTACATCCTATGATCACAGAACAGCTCCCAAGGCCAAGAATGATCTGGCTCAAGATGTCCATGTGCTGGGGACCCTTCAGACAGCCCCATTCTAAAGCCCACAGGAGTAATAACAATAATAGCCCCATTTAGCAAGTGTCCCCATGTGCCAGGAACTCTGCGAAGAGCTTTGCATATATCATCTTGGAACTCCACAGCTACTGAGAGGGGCTTTTTTTTTCTCTGAGAGTTGGGGCTTCACTCTGTCACCCAGGCTGGAGTGTAGTGGCACGCTCACAGCCACCGCAGCCTCGACCTACTGGGCTCAGGCAATCCTTCCGCCTCAGCCTTCCAAGTAACTGGAACCACAGCCATGTGCCACCATGCCCGGCTAATTTTTTGATTTATTGGAGAGGTGCAGCCTTGCTATGTTGTCCAGGCTGGTCTCGGACCCCTGGGCTCAGGCAATCCTTTCTCCTCCACCTCCCAAAGTGCTGGGACGACAGGTGTGAGTCACTACATGCAGCCAAGCCAGGGCTTCTGACTCCAGACATTGTGCCTTTTGGAAGCTGGGGGGCACCAGAACCGGCCGTGCATTCGGATCCAGGCTCCACTGCTGTGTGATCTCAAGCAAGTCACTAACCCCCAGCAGCCACCCTCCTCGTCAGTGACAGAGGGAGAACACCAGCTGCCCGGGTTGTGAGCATCACAGGTGAGATGCTTGGCACAAAGTGGGCCCGAGATAGACGCCCCCTGTCCTGCCTGCCCCCCTGCCTCAGGGAAGGTGAAGGAGGGTGCCTGCAGCGGTGGCTTTTGCTGCCTTCACTGCCATATGTTGTTTCTTGGGAGCCTTTCGATTGTTTTTTTTTGTTTTTTGAGACATTTGCTTTGAGGACGTTGTCGTTTCACCTACCTATACGGGACTCATGGGGGAGACCCCAGGTTCAGGATAGCCTAGCTGGGACTCCAAAGTGCTGGCAGGGTCTTGAGGACACCAGGCAAAAAGTCCCAAGCATGGACTTGCCCCTGAAATAGAGGGCGGCCTTTTGTTTCTGAGCAGAATATCCCGTTATAGGTGGGTTTGTCCCTTAAAGACCCTGGGGACCTGTCCAAGTCCCAGGCCCACATGGAGAGGGCTGAGAAGGCCACGGCTGGTGTCTCTAGGAGGACGCTCTGCCGCTGACCTCTCTGGTAGCCACAGAAGTGAGCTGGCCAGGTCAGCTGGAGAGCGGCCTGTTTGGGCAGGCCAGGGAGGGAGGGTGGCCCCATCTGTGCAGCCGTGAGGTTGATCGGAAGCCTGGTCAGCTGGTCAGGGTGGGCTGAGCCAGGCCTTGAGAGCGAGGAGACAGGATCTCCAAGTTGTGGCTGTTTACTGATCCTATAAAAATGAAGCTCACCGAGCTCCCTGGGGCTGCCCCACTGGCTGCCTGGGCTTCCAAGATGAGGGATGTGAGGCTCTCCGCACACGGGAGGCACATTTTCCGCAGGGTGTTATTGTTATTGTCACTGCTCCTGTGGGCTCTGGGGAGGGATCCCCTGAAGGGTCCACAGGGTTCTTCAACCTCAGCATGCAGACATCTGGGGCCGGATCACCCTTGGCCGTGGGGGCCATTCTGTGCCTCGCAGGACATTAAGCCGTGTCCCTGGCCCCTACAAAGCAGATGCCAGGAGTACCCCCTCCCCCAGCTGTGACCATTTTTTTTTTGAGTTGGAGTCTCACTCTGTCACCCAGACTGGAGTGCAGTGGCCGCTCCCGGCCACCGCAGC